CCAAAACCATAGGGATGTGAACTCCTCAATACCAGACCAATAGTATTGTTGAAGATCACATAAAAATACTTTATCAAAATCCTTATAAACAGATTAGAAAATATCTGCCAGATCAACAATATCCTAAGAGGACCTAATTATGTAGGATTATTGGAAGAAAAAATAGTAGAACTGATTCAAATTCTCAATAATATTTGTGAAGAAACAAGAGAAAATAAAAAGGAGTTATAAATACTTTTCTAAGACATAGCAAAAGTATATGATACTATTAGTCTGAATATGTTAATTAAGGTAATGAATAGAATCAAGATATCAGAAGGCTTTATCCAAATCAGAATAAGTCTATTTCAAAATTGAGAATTTATGATTATATTTGAGAAAGATCTAACTGAAGTAATCATAGCAGGAGATGGGATTGATCAAGAAACCATCTTATCACTTATATGAAGGATATTCTATGACCCTTTATTGTGCAAGATTCAGAATAATGAAACAAAAGGCTACAAAATGTCAGTGACTTGGGATTCAGATTTAAAGGTAAATACTGAAAGAAAACTGGAGTCAAGGTATACAGTTATCACATTCATGGATGATATAATATAGATAGCAAGATCTAAAGAGGATATGCAAAGATTCTATAAGAAGCAAGAATCTTTTACAGGATAAATGATTCACAGATTAATAGTACCAAATCAGTATTAATTACTATTAATAATCCCAATCAATATCCAGAAGAGGTCCAAGCAGGGGTTGACAGAGAAGTAGTTAGAGAATTGGATAGAACTAAAATACAAGATTTTTAGGTATCTGAACAGGTAATCAGAAATCAGTTATTGAGCTCAAAGAATGGATGCTTAAAGAAATTAATATGATTATCAAGTTCTAAAAGAACAAAAAGTTAATTGACAAATAAGCACTTTATATTCTGAATAAAGTCTTAATACCTAGAATCGAATTCAGAATGCAGTATAGTATACTATCCTGGCAAATGTATAATGTTCTAACAATAGTATATAGAAAGCTGTTTAAAAATAAGGTTACACTATATTAATCCATACCTAATAGTATAGTATATCATCACAGGATTTACAATTTAAAAGTGTTTAGATGTTGCAAAAAGAAAGTCAGATAACAGGATTATGCAATAAGTTAAATGACTTAGAGCCAACTGGAATTACAACAATTATCAGATTAAAGCAATCACAGATTAAATACTGGGAATCTTTCAACCTGCTCACATATAACTCACTAAACCATCTTCTGGGAAGGGGCAACTTCACATTACAAGTATTGAAATTGATTAGAGATATGAAGATAACTTTTCATAGCTGGAAGTGGAATGATATCTTTATTTGGAGTACTGGAAATAGTCCAATTAAAGATTATTTGTTAACAAATGAATACAGTAAAGCTATTCTATCACTTAAATACAATAAGTTGATGTATATGGATCAGCTTATTGACTATGAAACTAGAGAAGTATTGGACTGGTGAATGCCCAACTCTTACAAAAAACAAGTAAGATTCTATTCCAGAATGATACTTGTCAATAACAAGGGTGATACAAGGAAACAAACTAGAATAGCTTACAAGAACTTGAAAAGAAGATTGGTTAAAATGGAGTCCAGAATATCCAATACTCAATCTTAATCTTGATAAAAGGCAAAAGCTTTGTGTAGTTACCAAGAGCAAAATCATCAGCAACAACTTGTTTAGGAAAAATTGATTCTAGGTAACAATAAAAGATATATTAAAATAGATTATTTCAAATGTAACAGCTCTAAGGAAAACTTAGGATCAAATCCGATGTGATATCAGAGTTGCTTAGAAGGAATCATGATTGAAAAACAATGTATAGTAGAAGCAAACATAGAACAAACATATATAGTTCCTTATTTTAATACTAGGAAATCTACAAGAAGAGTTTAACTTTTAGAAATTCCTTGTTTTAAGATAGCCCTAAAGGGATCAATAAGTAGAACAAGTCATATAGACTCAATAACTACACAATGTGATAGAAGGCAACTAGAAGAAGTAGAGATAAAAAACTGTGAGGAGAAGTTTATTAAAGAAAATATTAAAGAAGGCATATATCAAATCCATCTGATTGAAATACTCAGGTATAACAAAAGAGATAATAGCAATAAATCAATAACCTTTTACTCAGATGAATCTTTTGTTGATCATGGAAATGAAAATATGAAAATGGATTTAGTATAGATACAAATTGAAGAAACAGAAAAAGAAAGCAAGTTTCAAGCAGGAGTAGCTGATTGGTCTTTGTCCACAAGAGCAGAGTTAGTAGCGATAGTCATGATACTACTAGTAGTACCAATTAATAGCAAGGTCAAGATCCACACTGACAGTCAAGCCTGCATCTCCAAATGGAAAACTATAGAAAAGAAGGATTTCCAAAAAACCCACAAAAGATGGCTAAAGAAACAAAATTGGTTCTTGTGAATATAAATGTTGAGCCTGATAAAGAAAAAAGAATTGGATCTGAATCTTATCAAGGTTAAAGCCCACTCCAACATTCAATATAATAAGGAAGTAGATATTCTAACCAAAGAAGCGTTAAAGTTTTCAACAATAGAATGGCAAGATCTAGACTCACCTAAGATTATTAGTGAAATCAAATGACAAGATATAGTGCTAGATACTCCAATAAGACAGTTTGTTAAAAAAACTAATATCAAAATAATGCACATTAATGGATAACTCAAAATAGAATAGATAAAAAATAGTGTCATCAAATCCAAGACCAGCACAAGTACACATGGAACCTAGTTTGGAAACAAATGAATAATGGGCATATATGGAATACCTCCTTCAAAGGATCACAAAGAAAAAGTTTTTTTGTTAAGATGACTAGCGACGAGCTACACATATTAACAAAACTAGCTACAAAAAGACTAGACTTATACAAGCAAGTAAAATATCTCATATGTGGATAGTAAGAAGAGACAATAGAACACTTGCTAGAATATCCAGCATACAAAACTCAGTGGTAAGAAACCTGGCAAAAGAGTATGGAAGATATGATATGAGGTTTTAATAAACTTCTAGCAGATAGGAAAAGAAGTCAAAAAAATAAGAGATAAGCCTGGCAGTTGATGACAGAATAAAAAGAGAAGAAATGAATAAGAAAATAGCTTAACTAGTGGAAAAGATCTCAATACTAGTCAGAATATACTTAGCTTCTGCATGGGACTGCTTGAAAAAGACCTAATGAATGAGATAGTAGACTCAAAGTGCTATGGAAAGAAAATCGATGAAGAAGCAAGAAAATAGATAATGAAGATGTAGAAGAAAACATGTAATCACTTCAGAAAGAAAATTTGGAATGTTAGATGTGAAAAGATAATAGAGTGGAAACAGATATTAGGAATTAACAGAGGTGACAAGATCAAAAGGTTAATATACCTATAGAAGCAAAAAAATAGGATCAAGATATCAGGAAATCAGTCATATCAAGTACATTAAAGGAAGAAGAATCAAAAAATATGATGCTCAAACAGGTCTTGCGAGATGGAGTAAAGTATGGAATGAAATAGTTGAGTTTTAATCTCTGTCAGAACTCAAAAGAGTGATCTGCAGTAGTAATCTGCAGGCAATGATGTTAGAAGTTAGAAGGGTATTTACCTGAACTCCTAATGGAGCAATAAGTTACTCCCAAAGTTGCACTTAGAAAGGTAGACAAGTGAGTTAGTTAAAGAATTAGCTTTAGCATCTCATATTATATGTACAGCTTACAAATATTTAATAAAATATACGTAATTAGTCTGACAGAAGTCAAAAAAAAAAAAAAAAGGTGTAAGCCACACAGTTAAAAAAAAAATAAAGATTGATGTTATTGCTATAGGATTTAATTATCTAATAAAGAGCTCTTATTTAATACCAGTGATAAAAAAAAATATTATTTCATAAACATTATTAATGTATATTTCCTATATTAATATATAAAACCAATAATTTCAAAAATAAAAATAAACTCAATATAATAAAAATAAATTTAACTAAGTAATTTTATCTTTCTTTCTTTCTTTCTTTTTTTTTTTTTTGATAAAAATATTGTTATTTATAAATTCTAAATCAAATTTATATGAGTTTGCATATATAAATTTATGCGAAGATCAAAATATTGCCGAAATTAAAGATAAGCTACAATTTTTATATAAAATAAGAATTTTAATTAATTTAATTCATTAGAAGCCCTATTATTTCAAAAATCAAATTCATTAATCAATATTATAATCATTATACAGTATGTAATAAAAAATTCATTTGAAATTAAATAAAATATTAATAAACTTACAGATAATAAAGCAGAGTACAGTGGAGTTAATAAACTCGTGTTTGACATTGAATCTTAATTCCTAAATTTGCGGGTGGATTTATCTTTTTCTTTTTTTTTTTTTGAATCTACGATCTAGATCTCGTTTATTAACTGCAAAACGCTGCACCCAACATCGACAGGGTAACATCTCCGGACAAAACTCAGGTCATTCCGCTTGCAGCCTTGGTGGTGTTCCTCCAATAAATTTATGCTAGCTCGACAATGTCAATTTTTTTAAAAAAATTCTGATCAATCACAAATGAATGCAAATATAATTAATCACATCTTGAAAGTTAAAAGGAATGATGTTACAAACGAAAGAAATATGACTTCTAATTTAATCTGCACGCTCATTGAGAAGATATTGACTGTTTTTTGTCTCTGAACTTTTGATTTTTTTGTATTTAATGCGATAATTATAATTTGAAATACATAAAGAGGATACAACTGTGATTTCTTAAAAAATAAGTAAGTGATAATTAAGTACCGCCGAATCATTCATTTCTATTGAATAAAATGCACATTCAAGGAAACAGTAAGAATAAAAAATGAAAGTATGCCCGATAAATATCTAGCTGAACTGATTATGATGATAAAAGTAAAAAATTATTAAAATCATTTATTTCGAATTATGCTCATGCAATTTTATTGCAATCTGAAATACTTCATATTCATCAATCGTGAATTTACCGCCAACCTTCCTAATGCACTTCTCGTACTCGTACTTATTGCTGTAAATTTTACTCTCCTCGTTAAAATATTCTCCGTACATTTCCAAGTCTCCACCACCGAATGTCAAACCATTATTCGCACTCTGATATAATGCATGAGTGGGATGTTCCACTCTACTTAATATGACGTTTTTTGCATCCATTTCTCCTCTAGATATATTGGGCCCTCTAAATGCAAACAAAAAGCTATCTTCCGAATATTCATATGAATTCCCTCCTGGAATCCATGATTTTGGATTAAATCCTCCCACCAATTCATCTGTTCCCCGAACCCTCATTACCACTATTGTCCCTGGTTTATTATAACACAATTTCTTGAATGTCGTTAGGGAGAAACCATCACGACTACCTCGTAACAATAATTTAAATTCATATGGATTCTCGTAAACCTCATAAAATGAGAATCCAAATGGCAACTTCGAACATTTGTGCTTATGATCGACCCATGAGGAAAGTAGCGATGCATGTTTACTACTAATAAGTATAGAATCGATCACCCCTCTTCTCGGTGGTAAAACTTCTGATTTTGGTTGGCTTCCCGGAACCAAAAAATATTGTAATAAATCTTCATACACGCGTTGTCTTAAAATCTTTTCAAATGGGCGAACCTTTTCAAAAAAACTCACGAGAAGATAATTGGAAAAACCTGATTAGAGGCAAGCATCTCGAAAGACGAATTTCTAAAGTTTTAAAATCCTCATTAGTCCATTCGCTAATGTCATTAGGTACTTCTGAGCATTGAGAGATTCCCCAGTCAAGAACATGTTGCCATACTTGGATTTCTTCCATTCGCAAGTCGTCCCTTTGTATCAAGCTGATCAGCGAAT